TTCCGACAATATTTTCTTTCTAGTCACTGAAACACCCATTTATGGAAATTTTAGTAGTAATTTTTACTTAATTAAATTTGTAAAGCTGCGTCCGCACTATTGTGTGATATGACAACATTAATGCGAACTGTCATTGGATTCTCGACAATATTTTCTTCTAGTCACTGGAAACACTCATTTATGGAAATTTTTAGTAATTAGTAATTTTTATTAGTTAAATTTGTAAAGCCGTCCGCACTATTCGTGATATGAAACATAAATGACAACTATATTGACACATGCGAACTGTCATTGGATTCCGACAATATTTTTTTCTAATCACTGGAAACACTCATTTATGGAAATTTTAGGTAGTAATTTTTACTTAGTTAAATTTGTAAAGCTGCGTCCGCACTATTCGTGATATGAAACATAAATGACAACTATTATTGACACATGGCGAACTGTCATTGGATTCCGACAATATTTTTCTTCTAGTCACTGGAAACACTCATTTATTGGAAATTTTTGTTAGTAATTTTTAATTAGTTATATTTGTAAAGCTACGTCCGCACTATTCCTGATATGAAACATAAATGACAACTATGATTGACACATGGCGAACTGTCATTGGATTCGGACAATATTTTCCTTCTAGTCACTGGAAGCACTCATTTAGTGGCAATTTTAGTTAGTAATTTTTACTTAGTTAAATTTGTAAAGCTGCGTCCGCACTATTCGTGATATGAAACATAAATGACAACTATTATTGACACATGACGAACTGTTATTGGATTCTGACAATATTTTCTTTCTAGTCACTGGAAACACTCATTTATTGGAAATTTTAGTTAGTAATTTTTAATTAGTAAAATTAGTAATTTTTAGTTAGTTAAATTTGTAAAGCTGCGTCCGACAATCATACCAACTAATATTTATAAATGACGCACTATCACCGGATTCCAACATTTTTTTTAAATTTTATGGGTTTCCATGGTAAACAATTGTTTTCATTATTTGGCAAATTGATTATGTTTACCAGTGTGTGTATTTCAAGTACAGTCATCTAGATCATTTACTTCCTAGAACTTATTTGTATAATGCTGCGTCCGCACTGTTCGAGATATGAGACGTTGCAACTACTGTTTATAAATGATGCACCGTCAACCAATTCCGATTGGTAACTATGGTAACCAAGTATTTTGACAGATTGACAAACCATTGATGTCATTTACTGGTTACAAATTATATTATAATGTTGTATGTACATCATGTGTAATATGAGACAAAAATATCATACGTACTAACAACTATTTACACTTAAGTTTCATGACCTTGTCTTATTTTGTAAAAAATAAAATTTTAGGTTACAGAAAGATTTACCTAAAGTTTAGTGACAGTTTCTATTTTTGTATTTATATTTTGTAAAAAATATTCAAATTTAAGTTGATTGTAAAATTTACTTCAAATTTTGATATTTGTCTATTTAAAAATTGATATCATCTACCTTAGTAGTAAGATTTACCTGAAGTTTAGACTTTTGTCAATTTTCAGACTGACAACTTTTATATTTATGAAATATATAAATAATTCAGTTGAATGTCTTAAGTTCTATATAGTATCAAGATAACCAAGATTTGTTGGATGCAAATAAATATCTAAGTTTTGATCAAATAACTACATTGAATCAGGTTGTATCACAAATGATGAACAGTGCGGATGCAGCATTATACAAACTTGATTAAATAAAGTTCCAATTTACAATCGAACGAAAAAAAAAATTAACATTGAATCAGGTGAATCGGATGTGCACAGAATAAGCAACAATTATAATTGTGTCCTTCTTTAATACAAATCCAGTTCAAGGAAGAAAAAATACGCCAAGTAAACACAATTCAATTTGTCGTGCAACGTTTTATTATACATGTTATGCTTGAAGAGTGCAACGAATCGCACATAAAGTGCAATTTGTAGATAAAGAAAAAACATGTTTTTTAAACTTATATGATGGAAAATTGATATTTTACAGGTATATTAATGCAAATACAACATAGATCATATTTTCAAAATAAATTGGTTAAATAATGTAAAAAAATGGTTTTTCAGTTTAATGTCCAAAATGTCATAACTTTGGTTTAATCAATTAAAAATAAAACTTTTCTTTTGTAAATGATTTAAATAATTAATAAATATAACAAGAAATAATTTTGGATTATGTATTAAATAAATTATATTAAAATATAAAACATTCAAGACACTTACAATACTAAGAATATTATAAACTATTCAGTCAATTAGGTTTTCTTTTAGAAACTAAATTAATTACAAGAAACAACACAGTTTTAACTAATGTCTAAATTGAGTATGATTTGGTCAATTTTTTTTCTCTTAATTATTACTATATTATATTATCGTGTTTATGCCCATTTTGATCCAATCAAAAATTGTAAATAAATTATTTTTTTCATCGAAAAACTTCATTCGACGATGAAGAATTGCGAGACCAAATTCAAAGCACCTACGATAATAATCACGATGTGGAAGATCAGCTGGAACGGCGTCAGAGCGTTATCTTTTCTCAAAGAGAAGATCTTCAGTAAACTGGGTAAAGTGAAGATGTACACCATCCCACTTAAAGCACCGGTATATCTGAAAAAAAAACAAAATTTTCATCTTGTGCAACGTTTTAATGTATACAACTTATTATACACGCATTACGAATGACATTAAAAAAATTATCAATCAAAATTAATCATTTTCTTAATTGAAACTCGAAATATTTAGATTAATCAACATTTGTTGCTGTTTATTAATTTACAAAGACTTATTGATAATATTGATTGATTATTTTATTAATTAATAAATTAAGACTTGTGTATTAATGGTTGTCTATACTAATTAATTGATAATTGACACTTGCAATTAAAAATGTTCGTTTCAAATTTTTTGTGTTTTTTTTTTAAATAAATTGTAGAAATGTAAAGAAAAAGTATCAAATAAAACAATTATGGTAATTATTGTAAAAAATGTTAAAGTTTCTCTAACTTTGAAGAAATAATATTTTGATTAGTAAATTTTGGAGTTGATTTGCTAAAAAAATCAATAAAGTTAATGATGTGGATGATCGAATTGGGAGCAAGAATAAGTGGACAAACAGCTACAGCGAGTAAATTTAATAAAAGCATAAACTATATCAGATCTTCTTCTAATCCAGATTAAAAATGAGTATAAAGGCAGTGATAATAAGCTAAAAACTAAAGTATCTATGGGTGTCCATAGATAAAAACTACAAAAAGTCCATTGATTCAGAGATGCCATTGACGCGATATTGAACTATGGTCTGTAATTGAGTTGTCAGAACTTAAAGAGCGGTATAAGATGACCTGAAAGTATCGTAGACTTACCTAATCAATGTTCCAATTCTCGGCAGGAAGCAGGCGAAGAGGATACAAATGATAACAACTAACAAGTTGAGCAAGATCACTTTTCCGTAGCTGAATTCACCGAACCTGCCGTTCTTGAAGATCGCCGCAAGATTGTTCAAAATGTCTTTACGCAACATGAAGGCAATCAGTGGAAAAACTGTGAAGAGTTGGAAGAGGAGAAGCATCCGAGCTATAATACTCAACTTGTCGTATTTCTCAAAATTATTCAAGATATTCTGTAAATTGTAAAGAATTGAGTTTAATTAAAGTTAATTACATTAATTGTTAATAAAAATTAATGAATACTTACGTCTTCTATACATGATTTGGCTAAGGGAAATGAGATATAGAAGACACAGCCTATGAATAAGTAAGTGAAGGTCACTAAGCAGTAGGCGATACTTAAGTCACGAGCCTGGAACAAAATTTGTAAATTAATTAAAAAAAAATAGTTACTAGTAAACGTTACGTTATTCTCTTGTCTCTTGTTGTTTTTAACTATGGATACGATGATGTTGTGGATGAAGTAACTTAATGAGAGCATCCCACTCAAAGCGCAAAACGTGGATTTGATCGTGAAAACATCCGCTTTCCAATCGTTGATGTTGACACCCCAACTGTAAGCTTTTACACTCACGAAGATCAGCAAATAGACAACGCTTATCGTGCCTAAACTGTTGAATTTCGTGAAGAAAGTTGGACTTTTGAAGTTCAACAAAGGGAACAGGATGAACGCCAGGAATATCGGTACAGTAGTGTACAGATCCCAGACGTTATCGAAGATCACGTGGTTTGGGGTGTTGGGATAACTCGAAGAAGTTTCGTTCAAATCCTTTGGACATATCACAGTGTCGTTCTTCACGATGATGACATCCAAATGATCAATGTAACCTAAAGAAATAGAAAACTTTAATTATGAAAACTTTAATTTGGATGAAGAATTGATGATTACCATAAATAAAATGAACGGAGTTGTAGAGAAAGTTCGACATCAGAATCCAATAGACTATGCAAGCTCCGATCAGCACTATTAACGAAAATATTTTCGCTACAATCGCGGCCCAAGGTCCTATTAGTGATCTGCATATATCTGAAACGTCGTTGCTTCCGAATCCTGATACAAAAAAAACAATATGAATCATTATCTTTTAAAGTAAACTTTTTAAATGCTGAAATTACCGTGTCTATTGTTCACTTGAAGGATGATGTAAGCTGTGTACAGGCAAATGCCAGACACGAACAGGATCAATATAATACCAGGAATGAAACCGGCTTTCGCCAAACCCCAGGACATCGCCAAGATCGATGTTCCCATTATTGTATTCCAAATAGCAAAACTGAAAATTTAAAAAAAAAATAAAACTAATACTGCTGAAGTATTATAAAATCTTCTTAACTTTAGATTATTTCATAAAAATTTACTTAATCTCTAAATTAAGCTGTAATTTTATAAACTAATCCTTCTTAACTTCAGACTATTTCATACAAATTAATGTAGCTTAAAGATCAACACGTTTGTAAACACAATTGATTTAGCTTTGTAAACACAAACAGCAATATTTTCCATACTCCTGTTTTTTTTAAGAGTTTTTTCTAGAAAATTACCAGAGTTTATACATCGTTGATTATTTGCTCGATTGCATGATGATCTGTAAATGACCTTAGCAGGCCGTGATTCAACGCAACCACAAATTTCATCAGCCTTATTTACCCCGAACTCGACCATATTTCCTTAATGGTTCGATTATATTCCATTCTATATACAGCGTTCGATGATAACGAAGGAACACACAATGAATATAACGAAAAAAAATGTACGAGCATACGCAAATGTTGCGAGTAATTAAATATCCAATTAAGAATTGAATTTAGTACAGTTTTAATTAAATAATTCGTAGCTTAATTTTGATTTTCGTATTAGAAAAACTAGTATTCATTCTATGGATACTTACATGGTGACCAAAGAGCTTTGGGTAGTCTCCCTCGAAGGTTGTTCCTCGATATTGTCCAAATTTTTATATGGTGAAATCATTGGTGATTTTGGACTCTAAAACACAAATCATAATCAATTTACACTTTTTTTTGCAGATTTTCTATAGTGAAATCAATTATTTTCTATCCAGAATTATTAATTTAAAGATTTAGAGGAACTATAAATATGTACTGATTCATTTTTCAAAGTACAAAAGTTTTCTGAAATCAATGTCTTTATCAAGTTTCTTCATTTTTCAGTATTTTTAATTTATTGACAAATTTCCAAAATTTAAATGATGAAATCTATAGTTTTGTATCCTGAAATCCACATAAATTGAATCATAAATATTTTAGTTTGTAGTTTCTCAACTTCAGACATTTCTATATTTGTATACCTTAATTTATTTAAGAAACCTATTTATTTTTTTATAAGAATCATATGAAATGAAATATGTGTAATATTTATAATAATAATATTTGATAAGTTCTCTATTTACAAATCCGCACTATACGAGGTATTGCTCTACTTATCGTAAACTGGCTGATGAAAATGAAATGAAATATGAGAAATTAACACAAAATGCATTCCTTTTTCAAAATGTATCCGATATCAGAAATCGTTTTATTTCAAAGAAAATGTAGATTTACGTAATGAGCAGTGTTGTATTTGGGACAGTGTTACGTAACGCCTCGATAAAAGCTCTTATTTTATGAACATTTTGCAACGATTATTATGACGCAGCTGCATTCGTTACACATGCGTCTCTTTTTTTGTTGATAAAATTGGAATGAGGAATAAAAATCAGTGAATCTATAAATTTATGTACGCACTGATAAAGACCGATTCAATAAACATGCCAAAAATTGAGCGATAAGTCTGGTTCAAGGTCAAAAACGTGCGGGAGTCACGGTCTTTCTTACCAGAGAATTGTCGACGATGCATCCTGAGGCTTTCGTGAAGAACTGGTAACGGTCAAGGATGTGCTCGTTCGCTGTGTAGATGTCGATCACCGGGGAATCGTGCACGCTTGGATAACAAAATGGTCTTCTGCAAAAAAAATATTTTTGACATAGTTTTCAAAGGTTTATAAATTCAAATGAAAACTGTCATTCCAATGTTTCCATAGATATTTATCAATATTCATTTTTTTTTAATAATTACTACTGTCAATACAACTTCATTCAAACTTCAAATGTTTCAATGAAATTTTTCAATTTTTATTGTTTATAGATACAATTTTGCAAACTGTCTTTCAAACTTCAAATGTTTCCATAGAGAATTATATACTGTCAATATAACTTCATTCAAACTTCAAATATTCCCAAAGGGATTTTTCAATTTTTATTATTTTTTTATAAAACAATTGCATACTGTCAATATTTCTTCATGATTCCAATAGAATTTTTCGAACTTCATAGAAACTTCAAATTTTTCAATGAGAGTTTTCAATTTCCAGTGCTTATAAATACAATTAAAAACTATCATTCAAACTTCAAATGTTTCCATAGAGATTTATTCCATTGATTTTTTTTAATAATTACATACTGTCAATATAACTTCATTCAAACTTCAAATGTTTCCATATGGATTTTTCAATTTCCATTGTTTTTTTATAAAACAATTACATATTGTGAATATTACTTCATGTTTCCAAAATAATTTTTTCAACTTCATTCAAACTTCAAATTTTTTTATGAGATTTTTCATTTTTCAGTGTTAATAGATACAATTTTGCTAACTGTCTTTCAAACTTCAAATGTTTTCATATGGATTTTTCAATTTCCATTGTTTTTTTTATAAAAAAAATTACTTACTGTCAATATTACTTCATGTTTCCAAAAGAATATTTCCAATTTAATTAAAATTTTTCAATGAGAGTTTTCAATTTTCAGTGTTTATAAATATAATTGAAAACTGTCATTCAAACTTCAAATGTTTCCATAGATATTTTGTTTATATAAGTAAAAACTGTCAGTACTAACGTAATTCGAAAAAAAATTAGGTATAGTTACCTTAGGAAAGATTTTGGTGGTGTTGCATTTATCGAAGAAGGTTTCTCTTCAGTTGTCATCTGTTCATAACTCGAAGAGTCCGAATCGTGTTGAAACATTCCAATTTCTCGAATGGTCCTGAAAGAAAGAAGAAAAGTACATGAAAAATAGGAATTATTAATAAAAAAAAAAATGTAATTATTTTTTATATTTATCAAGTTAAATAATAATTACTTAATAAAAACGTAACAAAACTTTCCAAAACATTTCCAACAACATAATACAAATTTTTCCTTCAGGAATTTACCATTTCATTGATTTTTCACTTTATTTTTAATTTACCGATTAATTTTTATTTTACGAATTTTCGATTTACGAAATTAAATGAAATAAACCTAAAATTCATTAAAAAAAAAATAAAATTATTTATTTTTCAATTACAATAAAGAAAACAAACTATGTGTACATTGAACTTGAAGCTGACAGAAAGATGATTGCTTTTGTTTTATTCTCATTGATTGAAGTATAAGAGAAGTCAATAAAGTGTACGACGCTGAATCATTTTCAAGAGCAAACAACTCGAATTAAATAAAAGTTGGACTTTTACTTCAAAGAAATCTAATTACGTTTAAGCTAAAGCTTAATTACTATACAAATAAACGTGATAATTATTTGTAGTTAACTTGATTACGATTTGTATTTAACATTACACTAAACTAATTTGTTTGCATGTTGGAAATTTTATAATTACTGCAGAAATTTCACATTTTTTTTTTGTTTATTTTCACTTGTTATTACTTTTACAATGAAGATTTGCTTATCTTCACTCTCAACATTGTAAGATGTCAATGGTTTGTTTGTTTTTATTAATATATATTTTCTTAAATAAATAAGCTTCATTTGAATAAATTTATTTAAATATTATCTCTTTTTATTCACATATTTTACTAATTATCTATAGATAATGAGATAATTTAGTATATTATGACTATACAGTGGAACAAGTATTTCGCTTAACAAATTATCATATATTACATTAGTTTATATGGGCAAAATTGTTTCACTATACGAATATAAATTTTGGAATGGATTATGTTAAGCTGTATTTAGTTTATGATTTCTTTTTAAGTTATTAACTCAACAATATTTGTGTAAATTAATTGAAATTGTTGCAGTTTTATGAATTCTACAATTTGATTATTTGGTAAATAAGTTCTGACTTGACGTGAATCCGGACTGATCGAAGCCGCACTATACGTGGTATCACTACTCTGTACTTACCCAAAACTGGTTGATGATGATGATGCGGAACTCATCAATGGTTGGGATTCCCCATCTGAGTCATCGGAAACTGATGGCTTTCTCTTCAATATCATCTTATAACTTCTAATTAAGTCTGTAAATAATGAAAACCCAACTGATTAGATTATAATTGATTTAGTAAAAGACATATTTAAAGAGAAACATAACACATTTTTGTCTCATTAATATAAATAATTTAAAATAACTCTACTTTACATTAGTTCTAAATTAAAAAAAAAACTTATTTAATATAGTAACAATGCTTATTAAATGTAATCAATTGTTGCATGGAAAAATGTATGATTAATTAAAGAAACTTTATCTGTGGATAAGAAATAAGCCTGAAATATTTGAGTCAAAGAGTGGCTTATTCCAGTTTATTAATCAAGAGGAAAGGTTTGAAAGACGCAAAAGTGACATTGAATATTAAGAAACAAAAATCAAGTAAGTAAACAATGTTATTGTCTCTAGTATGTCCCAAATATGTAACATGAAATTTAGAAATAAAAAATACAAGTTTTATTTATTTTTGCTAAGTGAATTTGAATAGATTTCTTAACACAATTTAATAAGCTTTTAATAGTCATAATACATAATAACTTATTTAGTCTAAATTAAGGAATTTGTAAATTTTAACGGAATTGGATTAGATTAGAAACATTTTTTAAACGTTCCTAAGTATATAATTATATAAAAAATAAATATTTACATCGAAGAGGAAAGTTATTAATGAACTTTGTTTGATGAAAACTAAAAAATGTTTATAAATTGTGTGTCCCAAAATTAAAGCAAGATTAAATATAAAGCATAGTTTTTAATGAAATTGTTTTTTTTGAGTTGCCAACACTTTACTGCACAAATGGCGGCAAATTCAAATCTTGCGTTAATTTTGGGACACCCTTTATCTCTAAGAAAATTTGAAATTGTTCAAAGTAAATTGAAATTTATTACAATATAAAAATCAAAGAAAAATTCAATTTTTAAATAGATTTAAATTAAATAATTTTTATGTTTTTCCTAAAGAAAATTAACGAATCGTTAATAAATTTCCAATATTGGATTAACAGAGCAAAAAATAAAGATAGATTTATAATAATGTTAATCTTTTCTATATTCTTATACTGAAGATGTAGACAATAAACAAATATCTTAAAGAATTTTGTTATTTGCTGTATGATTAACATTGCTTGAACATAGTTTTTGTATTAAGAATAATGGGTCAATCGATCGATTCTTTGAACTTGACATTCGACATTTCGCAACACGCGCAACACTTCGTTAACGGTGCTAAAAAAATATAATAAAAACATTTCAATTACGTCGACCTCGAAGGGAAATTACCACTGTAAGTACAACAATATACCTCGCATAGTCCGGATAATCGATTTCGCCAATTGAAACCGGACTAATCGCTGAACTAAATACATACAAACTTTAGTGTAAAAAAGTGAAACCGGACTATGCGAGGTGTTGCTGTATACTCACATTGAAAAAAAACAACAAAACAATTTTGAAACCGTACTATACTGAATCCGGACTATACGAGGTGTTGTTGTTTACTCAAATTGGAAAGAAATGCAAAACAAAAATAATGACTCAATTTTTAAGCTGTACTATAGTGAATCCGGACTATGTGAGACATTCCTGTATATTCACATGGTAAAGAAATACAAAGCAATAATAATGAATCAAGTTTCAAACCGTACTATAGTGAATCCGGACTGTACAAGGTGTTGCTGTATACTTAAGTTGAAAAAAATACAAAACTACAATAATGACTCAATTATTAAACTGTACTATAGTGAATCCGGACTATGTGAGATATTGCTGCATATTCACATTAAAAAGAAATACAAAGTAATAATAATGAATCAAATTTCAAACCGTACTATAGTGAATCCGGACTGTACGAGGTGTTGCTATATACTCAAATTGGAAAGAAATGCAAAACAAAAATAATGACTCAATCAATCTATCCGGACTATGTGAAATGTTGCTGTATAATCACGTGAAAAAGAAATACAAAGTAAATACAAAACAAAAATAATGATTCAATTGTTAAACTGTACTATAGTGAATCCGGACTATGTGAGATATTTCTGTATATTCACATGGTAAAGAAATACAAAGTAATAATAATGAATCAAGTTTCAAACCGTACTACAGTGAATCCGGACTGTACGAGGTGTTGCTGTATACTCAAATTGGAAAGAAATACAAAAATAAAATAATGACTCAATTATTAAACTGTACTATAGTGAATCCGGACTATGTGAGATATTGCTGTATATTCATATGGAAAAGAAATACAAAGTAATAATAATGAATCAAGTTTGAAACCGTACTATAGTGAATCCAGACTAAAGGAGGTGTTGTTTTTTACTCAAATTGGAAAGAAATACAAAACTAAAATAATGACTCAATTGCTAAACTGTACTATAGTGAATCCGGACTATGTGAGACATTCCTGTATAGTCACATGGTAAAGAAATACAAAGTAATAATAATGAATTAAGTTTCAAACCGTACTATAGTGAATCCGGACTGTACGAGGTGTTGTTGTATACTTAAGTTGAAAAAAAAATACAAAACTAAAATAATGACTCAATTATTAAACTGTACTATAGTGAATCCGGACTATGTGAGATATTGCTGCATTTTCACATGAAAAATACAAAGTAATAATAATGAATCAAGTTTCAAACCGTACTATAGTGAATCCGGACTGTACGAGGTGTATACTCAAATTGGAAAAAAATGCAAAACTAAAATAATGAATCAATTATTGAACTGTACTATAGTGAATCGGGACTATGTAAGAGATTGCTGTATAATCACATGGAAAAGAAATATAAAGCAATAATAATGAATCAAGTTTCAAACCGTACTATAGTGAATCCGGACTGTACGAGGTGTTGCTATATACTCAAATTGGAAATAAATACAAAACTAAAATAATGACTCAATTATTATTTAAACTGTACTATAGTGAATCCGGACTATGTGTGATATTGCTGTATATTCATATGGAAAAGAAATACAAAGTAATAATAATGAATCAAGTTTCAAAGCGTACTATAATGAATCCGGACTGTACGAGGTGTTAATGTATACTAAAATTAAAAAGAAATATAGAACTAAAAATAATTACTGAATTTTTAAACCGTGATATAGTAAATTCGGGCTATGTGAGATATTGCTGCATATTCACTTGGAAATAAACACAAAACGGTAATAATTAATCAATTTTCAAGCAGTGAATCCGTACTATTCGAGGTATTGCTATATACTTACAAAGAAAATAAATAGAAAACAAAAATAATGACTCACCTCTCATCTTGCCGCGTTTCCTTGTTCTCTATTGGTTATTTGTAATTTACTGTAAACAATTTGTACTAATACTTTGTTAGAAGATTTAATTGCTTGATGAAATCTTGTGCACTACCAATAGGAAAGTGCGAATTTCCATATTCACACAACAAAAAGAATTAGAAAGAAAGAAAGAAAGAAAAAAACAACTTTCTTTCAGTCAATTTTTCAGTGTATCGAATGAGATGTACGATCTCTGTAAATTGGTATGCACCGACTAAATTCGAATTATCTTTGACACTTATTTTATATACTATCCAGAGGCTCTCTGATAAGACCCCGGCAAAGTCTCTCCGATAGAGCCGAGATACCCGATTCCCAAGCATTCCCTATCTCGCTCTTCCTCCTGCACTTCCAGACGCGCTCCAACGTAGCTCGAGTGTTTACACACATGAGATAACGCCGCAACATACGGAAATAAACAAATCGAAATTGGCAAATTACCGCGAATTCCAATGATTTTTGTTACGAAAATTCATCATCGGTGTGAACGTTCTCGCATGGCCTTAATTTTTATTTTATTTTTTAGCAGAAAAGTCTTCGGTGTCAATTCCTATTTACGCTCAAGTGCCATGTGTTTATGAGCGATAATCGATGGCATTGAAAGTGCAAAAATAACGATTCTCTCTATACACACGCGCTTATCGTATGAAAGAACACAGCTCAGATCGCGGAACGATGTTGAGGAAGTCGTCAACTTTTACGTCATCGGATCTTTATGGACAATGTTCGAACGACGACAATACGAAAATCTGTTTTTCCCCCTTTAACACAAAAACATACACAATTTATTTATTAGTAAAAACTAATTTTATTACATTCGAATGGTTCGAATTCAAAACGGAAATGTTAATTTAAAAGTCAACGAAAACAGTTACGTTCTTCTTCAGCGTTCAATTTTTTTTTTTATTAACACTAGAAAAGAAGAAGAAAAAAAACAACAAAATCGATTGGAAGGTCAAGGTAAATGTAATAGGTTTTTGGAAAAATATGTAGGTAAGAAAAGCAAGACTTTTGTGGAACATTGATTTACATTCACAGTTAAATATTATTTATACTTTTTTTATTTATTGATTGTTCAGAAAACCTCACATAGAGCGGATTTAAAACAGAACCGTTAGAAGACTTTAAAACCGCACTAATAGAGACTTGATTATATAAAATAAATGTTTTTTTTTCAAATTTTCACTATTGGCTAGTAAAACTGATGAAAACCGCACTATACGAGGTATTTCATTAATAATTTGATTGATTGATTTTTCTTTGAAACTAAATAATTTCGTTCTAATTTCGATTTTTTTTTTAGAAATGAGATCATTCTTTACTTAGAAATTGCTGAATTTAGAATCTTTATAGTTAAGAAATTTTCTAAGAATTGTGTAGTTTCTTCGAGTTTGACCATGAGAAAGGCCAATTGGATAGGATTTGTCGTAGGAAGTTCGAAATTATGAAAAAATGTTACATTCATAAATATGTGCAGCGTATGTCCACTTAAATCCTGCAAATAAGGTAATATGAATTAAAAAAAATGTCAAAAGGTTATTAGTTTTTATAATATGTCAGAAATGTTTATTTCTTGTAAATAATTTTGTTGCAATTAAACAAATTATTCAACATTTTACATATTTTAATTAGTAAATTCAGTTTTAATGAAAATTAATGAATACATTTGAATAGAAAAACATATTTCTCAAAATTTTAATTAGAAAATTCAGTTTTAAAGAAAATTATGAATAATAATTAAAAAAAAGTATATAAAAATTTTGTTGTCTCTAAAAAAAATTTCTTACTTTAATTGAGAAATTTATAAAAAAAACAACTTGAAAAAATATTTGAATTTCATTAAAAAGAAATTGCTGCAATTTTACTGTTGCAAAAAAAAATATACAAGAAATTTAAATTTTGATTGAAAATTTATAATTTGTAAAGAAGAATTATAGAATATTTTAATGATATTTGAGTTGAGAAATTCAAGAATGAAGAAGTTCTAGAAAGGAAAGTCTAATTTAAGAAAATAATGATTAAAATGTGTAAACATGTCTCCTTAAAATCAAACGGTTTCTGAGTAAACAATTGCTAATCTGAGTCTGGAAGCGTTTTCGAATTGAAAAAATTGGCGTCGCTATTTTCATAATCGGTAAAGAAAATCAAAACACGACCTTGCAGTTCCTTACATAAAAAATAACAACAACGCACGTTGCAAAATTCGTGACAGAACTTTTCAAGCAAGGTCGTAACTAAATATTTAGCCCTCGATGAGGACTTTAACTCCGAATCTATTTTCGTTTATATTTGTGAAAGAAGATAAAGAATTTCCATTCTGAAATGGAACCGAAAGATGTGTACGTTTCGCAGTATATTTACGTACGTGCGTATATTTTATGATCAAGGTCGGCGGTACTGAAGTGCGACGAAGATGTTTTCAGATCAACAACAAAATTTTGTTTCTGTTAAGAAATTATCATCTATTTGCACGAACGAGCATGATAATGATTTTTTCAAGCTTGTCATTACAAATCGATTCTAATATTTAAGAATTCAGTCGCCCGATAAAGAATAAGAAGCAGAAACAGATGTTCCGATTAATCAAATGTTTGATTTTGTTCTTAACACGAGAAATCATGCGTTTCGAAAGATTAAATAACATTTATTTACAGCAATCGATACGAAAAGAAACCGTCATTTAAATTCTGATGCAAAAATAACAATCTCGTGATCATTTTCAAACCAAAAATAGATCAATCTCCTTCTTGTTTTTTTTTTTTTTTGTAATTAGTTTTAGTAGATGATCCAAAACTCATAATTGCCCTCTTATGTAACACATTAATTAAACAGAATTGTTTAAATTAAACTTAAATTATATTTTCAGCTATTAATAAAGAATCCGTTGTAAATGTAAATTATATAAATAATTTATAACTTTTCTTTGTTAAAGAAACGTATAAATTAAAAAAGAAGCATTGCAAGTGAAAAGAAATGTATTGAAGGTAATGGAACAGGAAACGCTGACTAGAAGGCAAGTGAAACTATTGTTGGCTACAAATGCATTGGAATGCGACGCATTGAAATGAACTAAATTAAATTGCCCATGAGCGCACTTGAATGATCGTTGAATTGTCGCAAAAAAAACGCGCACGGAATTTCCAATTGAAATATGCCACTTTTCCATTAATCCAATTAGCGAAAACCGTGATTTCTATTAAGTTGATTAGTAAAAAGTGTTGAAGTCCACGTTGGACGGCAATTTTATTTACGTATAATTATTATAGATTTAATGTAAAATATTGCTAATATTCACATTTAATAATTAATACAATTAGCAAACATCATTGATTTCTATTACTGTATTAGTAAAAATGTGCCCCACGTTTGTCGCCAAAATATTTATATTTTTTTGTTACTTTTTTTAACACTAATAATTAATCCAATTAGTAAATATACAAACTTTATTACCAAATATTTCTTAATACCAATCATTAATACATGATTCTTATTGAATTATTATAAAAAGTTGCCCCACGTTGATCATCAAAGTACTTACATCAAATGTTTGTTGATTTAATGTTAAATGTTGCTAATATTCATATTTAATAATTAATACAATTAGCGAACATCATTGATTTCTATCACTGCATTAGTAAAAAGTGCCCCACGTTGGTCGTCAAAATATTTACATAGATTTTTTTTGTTATATTTTTAAACACTAATAATTAATCCAATTAGTAAACATACAAACTTTATTACTAAATATTTCTTAATACCAATCATTAATACATGATTCTTATTGCATTATTACAAAAAGTTGCCCCACGTTGAGCACCAAAGAATTTACATCAAATGATTGTTGATTTAATGTTAAATGTTGCTAATATTCACATTTAATAATTAATACAATTAACAAACATCACTGATTTCTATCATTGTATTAGTAAAAAGTGCCCCACGTTTGTCGCCAAAATATTTACATAGATTTTTTTTGTTATATTTTTAAACACTTATAATTAATGCAATTAGTAAATATACAAACTTTATTACTAAATATTTCTTAATACCAATCATAAATACATGATTCTTATTGCATTATTACAAAAAGTTACTCCACGTTGATCATCAAATGTTTGTTGATTTAATGTTAAATTTTGCTAATATTCACATTTAATAATTAATACAATTAGCAAAGATCACTGATTTCTATCATTGTATTAGTAAAAAGTGCCCCACGTTTGTCGCCAAAATATTTACATAGATTTTTTTGTTATATTTTTAAACACTAATAATTAATGCAATTAGTAAACATACACACTTTATTACTAAATATTTTTTAATACCAATCATTAATACATGATTCTTATTGCATTATTACAAAAAGTTGCCCCACGTTGAGCACCAAAGTACTTACATCAAATGTTTATCGATTTTTTATTTAAATGTTACAAATATTGCTCAATAGATATAATTAATCCAATTTATATAAATAATGAATTCTATTGGTTAATTATTAAAAAGGTGCCCTACGTTGAGACCCTAAATATCAACATACAATGATAGTAAATTTATCGTAAATTTGTGTATATATTACTTTAGACAAATAATGCAATATTTACTTAAGTGATTCTCTTACAAATATGTATATTTACTAACGTTCATTGATAAGTGATGTAAATACAATAATTTGTCGTTAATTTCCAATCTAAACGTGCATTTCCATATTGTTGCAATTCGAAAATAAACGTGATTTCTATTGTTTAATCTATATACAAATGGCACACTTTGGTCTTCAAATTAATTATGTTTAATTTATGAACAATAGTATAAAATTGTTAAATTTTAATTTTTATCTAAATGATTCTCATAATCAATGAAAAAAATGATAATAATATAAGTCTGTAATTTCTAAATTTGGTCGTCAAATTATATACATTTTGAATGCGGTCAATTGTGGATTTAAAATAAAATTTTGTTACTCTTACTAAACACTAATAATTTAATATTGATTTAAATGATTCTACTTGTCTATATGTACTTCATTGACGTGACGTAAATTCAAGAACGCGTCGTTTGGGAAGGTTATGTAAGTATGACTAATAAGCAAATGGATATTCTGCAATAAATGTGTACGTTTCCCAAACGAAATCCAAATTTGGCGAAAATGCCGAACCCAGAAACTGTCGCTCACAGAAATATCGCATTATATAATTACAGGGTGTAGAATTTATCCTGATCTTATAAAATATCTATTTTTTATGTAAATATTATCAAAGTAATTCGTATTCATATTTCTTAATAACAATAATCCACGTGTCTACATTAAAATCCATTTAAATATAATCAAATCACACCTAATCCCATTTACATAATTAATACTATTTAAACGTTAAGTGAACTTAAGAATAACGAAGTTCATTTGTTCTTATGCAAATCCGTTTTTTTATATCCTTCTCAGGTGTGTAAATAACAAATAATTAAACGGGCAGAGATGATTTTCGAGAAGGTCGTCATCAGTGCGGGGGTTCTTAATTACTTCACCTTACTTAATAAAGCCCGTTTTGCAATATCCTAGAGAGAGGTGGAAATGTAATAATTAAAAGTATCAACTTTCGCTTCTGAATGTATGATTTTTTTTTGTTGTTGTGTAGTTATGCAGTTTCCATTCGAAGCCCAATTCGCGATTGAATCTATTTCGCCCACTCGATTAATGCGGGGGCTTGGATGTATATGTATAAACACACGAGCTTATCCTTTTTAGGTCTTTTCCCCTTCTCACCATGGACCAGTTTCCTTTATACCAAGATCACAGACAAGGCTCTCGATCATTTCATTAACTCACTCAGTCTCTTCTCGTTTTGTCTATCGATAAGTCGTGTCTTTCTCAAATAACATCAGGTAATAGTTAAGCAATTTTTTCGCGCTTTCAGTTGGTGATCTTCGCATCTCATTGCAGACATGTGGGTCCGATCGATGCTCCTCGCAGCGTTCCTCGTCCTCCTGCTGGAGACCTCAGGTAGCGTAGGTAATCCCTCTTACAGGCAGTACCGGATCCTGAACAACTATTACCCAGACAATTACCGGACGGTTTACGTGAATCCCTACGTGGGTCAACCCGTGGGATGCACGACCTGCCAATACACAAGCACAAGATACACGAGCGTCTCTCCGGTTCGGTACACAAATCCCGTGCAGGAAGATGATGATAACAAAGTTTACATCACTGACAAATACGGACGCACCACGGTTTCAAGTGCCTCCCACTATAGCAATTATATCTCTAGATACTCAGGTTTCTATTACACTACGCCAACACTTTAATCGCAATCGCTCAGGAAATACCTTAACCATTCTTTGTTCTCTTTACCAGCCATGGGTCAATCCACAGTATGCACCAGCTCGACCTGCGGACAAAACGCCCAATGCTCGATGGTCGGAGGACGTCCCGTCTGCTCTTGCTTCAGAGGTTACATGGGTGATCCACTTCACCATTGCAGAAAAGCCGAATGCTTAGATAACTCCGAATGCAGAGGTCATCAGACCTGCAAGAACGAGCATTGCGTGGATCCTTGCGCCGACGTTTGCGGACCCAACGCCAAATGCGAAACCAGGAATCACATACCAATTTGCACTTGCCCAGCCGGATACACCGGAAATCCTTTGAGCGGTTGCAGGAGGTTCGATCCATCTGAACTCTGCCATCCCAGCCCTTGCGGACCCAACACCAACTGCGAAGTCGTCAACGGTACCCCGACCTGCAAATGCTTATCAGGATACCACGGATCTCCTCTAGCAGGATGCAGGCACGAATGCGAAACCAACTCAGAATGCGGATCAAACTTAGCCTGTGTCGACTTCAAATGCCAAAACCCTTGCCAAACCCAATGCGGAATCAACGCCGAATGTGAAGGTGTCAGGAGCAGCAACGCCGTCTGCAAGTGCCCTAGAGTAAGCATTAGTTAAAACAACTAAAATCTTCAACTAAATATCAATTTTCAAGGGTTACTATGGAAATCCTTACACATCCTGCCAACCGGAATGCACGAGCCACAGCGACTGCCCAAGATCCAAACCGGCTTGCTTCTACAATTCCTGCAAGAACCCGTGCGACGGAGTCTGCGGCGTTGGAGCTAACTGCGAGTTAAGAGACATAACTCCAGTATGTTCATGCCCGAGAGATATGACCGGAGATCCATTTGTGCGTTGCAGACCTTTCGAAAAACGTAAATACCACTTAACCTCTTAAATCAATCATCTAAATCTCGTTTTTACAGGCGATCTTTGCGAACCCAACCCTTGCGGAGAAAACGCCCACTGCGAACCTGGATACGATAGGTACAACAAGGAACGTCCCGTCTGCACCTGTCTCTCCGGTTACCAAGGTGATCCTTTGAGGGGATGCATCAGAGGAGAATGCACCGAAGATAGCCATTGCGGAGACCACAGGGCTTGCATCAACTACAAGTAAATTGATTAATCTCAGTAGATTCCCAAAAACGTATTTACTTTAATTTCAGGTGCGAAAATCCTTGCGTCGGGCAATGCGGAGCTAACGCTGATTGCACTCCTAGGAGGCATTTGGCAGTATGCACTTGCGCTCCAGGTTACAACGGAGATGCTCTGATCAATTGTTACAAGGTTAGTGGAGCTGCCGTCACCAGGAGATATCGTAGATTCGTCATGGACTTCGAGAAGAACGCCACTAAAACTGATTAGAAAGTTTCGAAAAGACTAATACTAACTGCGAATGCATCCACGGAAGATCAGAAGATCTAAGTTCAACTTAATTCAAGGTATGTCAAGATTGACAGCAACGACCTTGATTATGTGAAGTGTGGATAGAGAACTAAAAAAAAACAAAAACAGTTCATGACATGAACAACGTGCCTTTAATATATTTGTAAATAAGTTACTATTAATAAATTATTAAAAACAAAGAGACTTTCTTTATTTATACCATATTTCCTTTACTTTTACAACAAAATATTTCAGCTCAACTTCATTCAAGGTGTGTCAATATTGACAACAACAACGTTGATATTTGAAAGAAAAGTATACTCTTTTTATTTATTGATTAATTACTTTTACTAATAGCAAATTTATATAGAAAATACTGCAGATGAAAAGATCTTATTTCAACTTGGTGTATCAAGATTGATAGAAATAATTAAAAAGCAAAGAAAATGAAAATTTAAACAATGCTTAATTTAAAAAAGATACTTAAGTATTAATGAAAAATTAAAAAAAAAACAGTTGTATGTTAGCTCGAAGTAAATAGAAATTGGTACATGTTTACCAAATTTGTTTCTTTTTTTTTTGTTCGACAAAGCGTGCGAGGAAGCGGCTCTGTTAATGAATTTTTAATATACTTATAGTTTGTGTTTGAAACGTTCTGCGTTGTATAACTAACTGTAAATCTGAGTATCTGAGTTGTTTCCATCCATCGAGAGACCCACTTCGATCCGTCGTCGTAACTGTACATCGTAATATTGGTATTCAAGCACCAGACCGGGCAACAGTTAAAAAAAAAAAGAAGGAAAAAGTGTGTATTCATATAAGTCGCAAAATTGTTCCGTGCTATGTCAATGGGACGACGCGTTTTCCGTTTCAGGACGAACCGATTTGTTCTTTAGTTTACCACGAGAACGAACCCAGTGAACACCTCAACCAAAACCATCATGAGTATTAAGATGTTGAAAACAGCCTTGATTTTGGCGCTAGTTCTAGCGGTTCTGGTGAACACCGAAGCGAAACGCAAGAGGAAAAGCGCGAGTGATAAAGCTATGATCTTGAGGCAGAAAGAAACGAACGCAGTCGATTTTATCAGGTATTTACTTAATTAAACTAAAATTAAATTATTAATTAAACTTAATTCATCCATAGATTAGCTGTGATGAGATTAATTTATGGGATAGCTACAAGGATAGGACTTGGTGAGCAAATTTCCGAAGCTCTGAACGGGGCTTTCGTTCCTCCTGGAGTTGATGATGATTACAGCGATTACAACGGTTTCGGAGGATTGTTGGATAGGGAGGACGATGATGACTACGACTACTGAATCTCACGAACAAGTTGAAAAACGAAGCATACCAAAGTTACAAATCAAAGTCTAATATTTATTTATTTATTTATTTTATCGGTATTTATTTAAACGATTACTTACATACACTAAATACAGTTTTTGTACATACAAATCTAATTTACTTATTTCTATATCTTCCGCTAAACACATACAAATCATTGAGGAAGAAACTTTCAGCCATTTTCTGTTCTAATCAGAGAAATCTCTATTGTTGTTAATTATTATTTAAATAAATTTAATTTTATAAAATCGTTATTTATTTCTACAAATTATCTAAAATTATCTTTATAATAAATTGTACAAATTTCTATTGTTGAAATCTAAGTTTTTACTTATTTTTTAATAATAAATTATTTGCATTTTTATGGTAAATGATTAAGTAAAAACTTAAGACTTTTAGAGCTAATCAATTCATCATTTTAATTTGTTTAATATGTTTATATTTAAAGAATGATATCACTTTATTTATATAAAAGTTATAATTAAAACTTCTAAGTGATTGAGATAAAACGCTATAAATAAACACAATTTCTTTGAAAAAATATTATAAATTCCTATAGGCAACCAAATATACATATGGAAATGATCAGTTTTGAATTAGTTAATAAATATTCAATTAAAGAAACTTTTAGGTGAATTAACATTTCTTACATTAAATATATTAATTTTCTAGTAAAAAAACACAATTTGTGAAAACAAATAATTAAACCTTTCAAAACTAATTTAAATAAATAAAAGTAGAAAATGTAATAAAATAATACAAATAAATTGGGAAAAAAAAACTTTGCAATTATATTGAATAATATTCTAACAATAATCAAAACAATTACAAAACTTAATCATACACAATATACAGACAGATCTTCCTACTAATACAAATTAGAATTAAATTATGGCAACTTTGTATGAAACTTGTTTTGTTATTATGTAATAAATATATAAGAAAAATCGGTGACGACCGAAAGACCGTCTATTGAAATCCCGACTGTATCGAAATCCCGGCTGGCTCAAAATCCCGACGTTCGAAATCCCGACTATATCGAAATCCCGACAGTGTTTTTTATTATTATAATTTCTACAATAACATTTTTATGGTAGTTGGGATTTCGATTAGTCGGAATTTTGATATAGTCGGGATTACGATATAGTCGGGAATTTGACATAGTCAGGATTTCGATATAGTCGGGATTTCGACGTCGGGATTATAGTAGTCGGGATTTTGACATAGTCGGGATTTCAATAGACGGTCTTTCGGTTGTCGGGCTTACGATATAGACCCAAGAAAAATACATAAGGATTTCTAAACGTAAATACATAAACGTGTTTGTCTTTGGGAGAATGTAAATAATATTTGCTATAATTACATAACTGTATCAATAATAGTTTATTTCTTAATTGTAAATAATAAAATTTCTGAAAATCCTTATAAGTTAAGTATGCAACTTTACAAACAAAATTAATTTATGTTAAAAATCTTTGCAATCTTTTTAAATAATTGAAATTAAGAAAATTTATTTATTCTATATTTTTACCGTACTTTTTTTTAATAAAATATGAAATATTATAAACAAAAACCTTGAATTAAAAATAATAAAAATTCATGATAAATCAATTAAAATAATAGTGGGAGGCAATGAAACATAAACTAATCAATTCCAATTTTACGTAACGTCAAAAATCAAGTAATAGATACACATAAACAAAACACAAATAAAGTTATAAATTATTCGTTTACAAACAAAAAATAAATTAAAGAAATATTAAGAAATAAACTTATACATTTGATTTATTAATTACAAATTAAAATAAACTTTAATAATTTGTGAGTTCAGCGAAAAAAAATATAAACAGATTGTAATTACAATAATTTCATTAATAACAGTGAAATTACATTTAATTACCACAAATTTCATTCATATTATAATTACTAAAACGATTATAATAATAAGAGAAAAAAAACAATAATTATTATTGCCTGGGAAACTTTCATACGCGATGGTTATTAACACGGTCAATTACCATAAACATGATTCTGGGAGTACCGCAGTCCCTCTATTGAATTACATAAACAAAAAATACATTATTTTTACTCCAAAATTTATATAATTTCATTTTTTTTATTAATTTTTCTGTAGTTTTGTTTATCTCAGTTTACAATTATTAACATTATTTTTTTATTCTAATTTGTATCAATAGAAACGCATGTCTATATCGCAAGTCGGGATTTCAATAGACGGTCTTTCGGTTGTAAGTAAGTCTATTAAAATCCCGACGCTTGAAATCTCGACAATCAACATTCCGACTATATCAAAATCCCGACTACCATAAAAATGTTATTGTAGAAATTTATAATAATTAAAGACACTGTCGGGATTTCGATATAGTCAGGATTTCGATATAGTCGGGAATTTGATTGTCGCGATTATGGTAGTCGGGATTTTGATATAGTCGGGATTACGAACGTCGGGATTTCGAACATCGGAATTTCGATAGACAGGATTTCGGTTGTCGGGCTTGCGATTGCCACCGTATAATATACAGTGCAACCTTGCTTAACAAATTTAATCCGTTCCAAAATTTCCGGATTTTTACTCATATAGTGAAACATATTAAAAAAATACACATAATATGTGTACTCAAGTTTTAAAAATGATGTAACAGGCCCGCAATCCGGCACATCTCTTCTCATAATCACTTGTTATGCAAAACGTCGCTCGTTAAGCGAGTCATTTTTCTTATCATATTTTTCGCTCGTTAAGCGAGGTTTCACTGTATTTTAATCGCTAATTAATGAATGACATAACTATGTTATTAATTAGATAAATAATGATTGATCTAAATGTCTTTAATATTATGAAAATACCCGAATTAATTGATTAATTATTTAATCAAAATACAAAAAAAATAAGCTTTTTTAAACAATTTTTGAATATTTACAATTGTTAAAAGACTACTATGAATATATTCAACATTATGATAAAAATTAAACATAATTTTTTAATTTATGTTTCTTTTTGCTATTGAAAACGTAACGAAAGATACATAAAACTGTTGTTAAAATTAAGTTGGAATTTATCTATATTTTAAAGCAATTATAATCTTATATTGAATAATGTTAATAATTAAACGGTAGATTAATATAAATGTAGTTAATCTGAAGATGGAAATACCGTAATCGAATTAAAAAAAATTGTTGAAATGAATGACTAAATTTATTATTATTAATTAATTAAGGTAAGATTACAGTAAATGTCGTTAAAATCGAGATGGAAATTCCCGACCTAACCTACATTCTTCTCCGTGGCGCAAGTGATGTAATCTGTTGGCGGGAATGAGTAATACCCGCATACCGACGGTGATGTAACAGACGGTCCATAGATGGTGGAAGGAGAGGAAACAAAAAAAAAACTTGTCGGATTTCGCAAATTTCAAGAAATTCTTAACACTAATCAATTTAATTTCGATTATAAAGTTATTGTTAGTTAAATATTGGATTCCATTTTGTTGAAATCGTTTGATTAGTTTGAAATTTCACGGGCCGGGCAATGATTAAACGATAGGCCGTACACTTTGAGAGCGCAGGCGCGTTTTTCTAAGGGTTTTCTTCGAATTACTCGAATTTGAGAATAGATTTTTGGAAATTTTTAGATAGAATTAGAAGCGTCTTGTTGTGGTGAATGCAATGGTATCAGTTTCTTGGCGCTCCGGTTTTCCGTTTCTTTGGGAAAGGTGAAAAACCGGGCACCTTTGGGCGTGTTCAAGTGTGGATCAAGTAAAACGACGGTCGTTGCGCCCCTCTCCGTCTGCGCCCTTGCGCTAGAGCGCGATGGATTGATCAGAGGCAGGCGGAGCATAGCAGGATAAAGGCGTAGCCATTTTGATTTTGACGAATATTGACATACGTCGTGGAGTCTAGACAGAAAGTCATTTGTTACGGCAAAAGTGACATGTAAACATTTAGAAATTTCGGGGGCATAAAATTCGCTGCAGCCGCGTGCTTCCTGAGGCCGGTCGTGACACGGGGGGGAAAAAAAGGACGAAAAGGAAAGAATTAACAAAACGGGAAGAGAAAGAGAGGATCGTCCGACAACAAATGCGATAAGTGGAAGCGTGCTAAATATTATACAAGAACATTAATTAAAACAACAACAAATCGGGACAAAGCAACAATAATCAGCAGATTGAAAGGACGCAATGCAACGATCTGCGAGGGATGTAATTTAAGCGGGTTCCGGTGGTTCAACAGTGCTCTTCCTTATTATATTTTTTTTTTACGTTGTTGTTAAATTTTTTTTTAAAAAAAATATTTCGTTCGTCCTTTTTGTTGGTTGAATCCTTGTTTTGGTTCTGACTTCTTCTGGGATGTCTTCGGATCGCCTGAGATTTACAACGAGACCTCGCCGAGGGATTATTTTGAAATAAGATGTAGGTAAGATTCTCTCTCTTCTTTCGTTATCCTTTTCTTCTCCTTTTTTTTTTGATCTGGTCGTCCACCTGATTTTGGCCTCTGCATAGTTTTGTTTTTCGTGTCCGCGAGTTATTTGTAAATTGCCGCAGCAGCTCTTGGCGCGATACGATTTTAGCGGACTGCTTCTAATCAGTGTAAATTGATATGCCCTTGCAACGCTTCACACATCCATCCCCCTTTTTTTTTCACTCGAGTCCTGTGACAAGGATGTAAATACAAGAAAACAGCAACATTTTTACATTTAAAGTAAATCAATACATACAAATTTTATAAAAAATAATTATTTTTTCACCATTTTAACCAAACAATTCTCATACAAAAAGAAGCAATAATAAGAAAATTTAGAAATTTTCATATCTTTTATTCGCAACAAAACATTGTTTTTTTTTAAATAATTTAAATTAAACAATTATTAAAAAAAGACAAATTAAAACTGGAAAATTAATAAGAAATCTTAAAAAGAAATTCAATCAGCAATTTGTAACAAAAATAACGAAATAACTTAAATTATAAACTTTAGTAACTTTTTTTGAATTAAAAAAAATAATTTGTATAAACAGGTTTTTTTAACCATTATGAAAATTTGTTATTTGTATTTCTCGTTTATATAATTTACGTTTTTAGATATTGATTTACTTAATTTACATTCAAATCTATAAATAAATATAAACGACGTTAATTGGGTAATTGGCGCTCAATAGCTTACGAAAGTTAAGTAAATTGAGTCAGGGATTATTTTGAATGGGTGATTTTTAACAAATTTTGAATATATTTTTAAATAACCGAACCACTAAGTGCATTTATTGTAATTGTTATTTAACGAGTTGTTTACTTTACTTTTTTTTGTAGATTATCTAGAAAATACCACTTTTATCGTGAAAATACTAGAAATATTTTAAATTACTAATTTGTTTTTTTTTCTTCATTATAATTTCTTAATGAATTATAATTAGAAACTATTGTTTTCTAATTAACTTTTTTTTACATAATATAACCAAAATAAACTCGTATAATATTCATATATGTTAAGAGATTTTTGTCGCTCCACTCTTTCTTCGTTTTTTTTTTATCTAATGGAATTCGGTGCAGCGCTTGTGTCGGATCTAACAAAAACATTTGCTCGGATCTGGAGGGTTGACCTATTTCGTAGTTGAGAAGAAATCAATTGTTGTTGAATGTTTTGAGAAGCGAAGGCAATACATTCTAAGCTGTATTTCGAAAGTCCAGAACTTTGTTTCCTTTTTACACAACAAATAAAATAAAATAAACATGAAAATATACTCATAAATTAATGTAACTTTTGAACTACAATGAATCTACAACTTATTTATGCAATTACAACTTTATTTAAGTATACAGTGGAACCTCGCATAACGTAAGAAAAATGACTCGCTTAACGAGTGACGATGAGATGAGAAGTTCCGGATTGCATATTATGTGTATTTTTGGATATGTTTCACTATAAGAGTAAAAATCCGGACATTTTTGAACGGATTAAACTCGTTAAGCGAGGTTCCACTGTATAACTTTTTTTTTGTAAAATGAAATTCTGCTAATTTCATTCATTTACATGCAAATACATTTATTTTATGTGTCAGTTAAGCTTTCAAATATTTGAATGAAATTTTTTTTTTGTCAAATGTTATATGAAATTATTTTCTTTATCAACTTTTTTTCTACTGACATTCAGAAATCTTACTGCTATTCGTTTTAAACTGTCAGATATTATATAAATTTGTCGTCTTTGTTTAATTGTCGAAAGCTGTCAAATATCTGAATGACATATTTTATCAAATGTCATATATTATATACATTTATCTATTTTGTCAACTTTTTATTTAGTTATATTGGAAACTGTCAGATATTATATAAATATTACATAAATGCCTTTGTCAGAAATGTCATTGTTTAATTGTCGAAAACTGTGAAATGTGAAATATTTGAATGACGTATTCATTTTGTCAACTTTTTTCAAATTATATGCAGAACTGTCATTTCAATTTTTTTTAAATCTGTCAAATGTCAAATATTTGTTTGACATATTATTTTGTAATATACCATAAAGAAACTTTAAGGAATATATTTGATAAAATTAATAGAAATTATGATTTTTTTTCTATATAATAAATTGATGTTAAAAATTTCAAAAAGTTGAAGCACAAATGTTGTTTTTTTTGCTGAATTTCGTTTGTTGTTTAAAAATTTACTCTTTTGTCTGGATGATCTGGAGTAGATTCGGTGGAATCGCAAAGAATGCGTGATCACATGATAAATCCACGAAACAAGTGCACGCAGATGGAATACGTGACGGGTATATGAGCATTGCTGCTCCATTTTAATATTATTTTTTGCGGAAATGCAAAATTTACCTCGATGCATTTTTATATGATATTATATCATAATATAAAAAAGAAAACAACAAATTAAATTAAATTTCGTAAACCAGGTCGAAGCGGATTTGCATACGCAATAAAAATAAATTAAGTTAATTAAAAGTTCACTAAAATCCAGTCTTTCTTTCTCATATTGTTTTTTTTGTGTGTGTTAAATTTAAATAATGCGGAGGAATTTGTCACGGTTGGAGTAAATGTTTTGACAAATATAACAAAAGAAGAAGCTGGGTTCGGTGCTTTTCAGGTAGACCCGTTTTTAGGGTTTGTTTGTGTTATTAGGATGTCGTAAAATGCATGCACGTATATTTTTTGGAGGACTACGGAGAATCCTTTTGTCGCGGAAGGAAGCAACCGTTTTCCTCTCTTCTACTTTTTGTGTATAGTGCGGGATTAAGTGATTGCCGAGGTGTAAATAGGTGGCTTTTCCTTTAATCGGATTATCCTGTTTGTTTTACTCAAAATTTGTATTACATGTTTCATCATTTTATTTACTTCTAAAGATTTTATTAGTAAATAAATAAAGAACAGAAAATTTTCTAATTAATCTTTCAACCAATGGTAAAATCTTAAAAAAAAAACCTTTTACTTTGTCTATGAAGAATTTTCACATTTTTTTTTTAATTTAGAAATTTGATTTACAAAATTGTAATTTTTTTTAAATATTTTCAGTTTTGTTGAAAATTAAAAAAAAAACTGAAAATTTTATAACTATTTAGAATTGTTTAAAGAAACAAAATTCAGTACAATTGTTTCACTTTCCTAAGAAACAAAACTGAACACAAAAAAAATATAAGTAAAAGTCATGGATAATTTGTTTTGTTGTATATTTCTACAATTAATTAAAGTTATATAATTGAACATTATTCTTTTTGTATTTTTAAAATTATCTAAATTATTTAACGTTTTTAACAAATAAAAACAGTATTTAATAACATTCAACTACTTTCCACATGTATTTAATTATTTTATGTTTTTAATGAAAAACAAATTTAATTGAAAATTCATCAATTAGTAAATAAAACAATGAAAATTTATTTATATTGTTTATTTCCATTTGTTTATCCAATTAAACATATATAAATAATGAAAACTATTTTGTTTTTGTAAACTAAATATGTTCAAACGTTTACTTTCATTTTTTTTGTTATTATATATATATATATATTTTAATTTCATACTACGCATTCAAATATCTGGAATCATTTTTCTATAGCCTTCATTCGTTTCCATGGACAAATCGTTTATCGTTTGCGAGAAATTTCAAACGCTGAAATAGTTCACTGTTCGCAATAATAAAATCAACTAAATCATTTATTTATATACATCAATTTCTGTTTACGCAATTTATGATATTTTTACTAAATTTATGCGAATTTTTCATAACTTCTCGCTATATATTAATAATTATACTATATTCTATTTTATATTCGTATTGCTTTACATTTTGAACGAGTCGCGAAATGACAGCTGTCACCTTATGTCAATGTGTCAAATGTCATAAATGTCAAATTAAAATTTTAAGCAATCACGATGCATAAAGGTGTTTGACATTAATTATGAAATCTGAAAAGCGCAAATAAATATAAAATAATTGAAATAATTAGAAATATACGAGAAACCAATTAAAATATCCTATTAAATTTATAGTAATTAATATTGTCATAAATTTAAATTGTTATGACAGCTGTCACCTTATGTCAATGTGTCAAATGTCATAAATATCAAATTAATATTTTAAACAATCACGATGCAAAAAGGTGTTCTACATTAATTATGAAATCTGAATAGCGTAAATAAATATAAAATAATTGAAATAATTAGAAATATACGAGAAACCAATTAAAATATCCTATTAAATATATAATCATTAATATTCTCATACATTTGAATTTTTTTTTCATCTGTCACTTTATGTCAATGTGTCAAATGTCATAAATGTCAAATTAATATTCTAAGCAATCACGATGCAAAAAGGTGTTCTACATTAATTATGAAATGTGAAAAGCTTAAATAAATATAAAATAATTAGAAATATACGAGAAACCAATTAATATATCCTATTAAATTTATAAAAATTAATATTGTCATTCGATATCAATGAGAATTTTTATGACAGCTGTCACCTTGTGTCAAAGTGTCAAAACATATATATTAAAAACAATAAATAAAAACTGAGATTTGTTAAATAATCATGAAATTTTAAAAATATTAAAGAAATAGTTAAATTTGATTAAGTGTTATAAAATTCTGATGAGTTGAGTCTGTGAAAGGAATTGTCTTCTCTTTACCTTCTTAACCTTATTAACGGCAATATCATAAAATATAATAATCCATTACAGGAAGGAATACCAGAAAAAAAAAATTGGAATTGAGAAGAAAAAAAAAATGTCAAAGCGAAAACGTCGCCGTCTGCCTAAGCCTTAGAAGGTTACCCGATGTCGTTAATCAATCACAAATGGTAACGTCTCAGAGCATCGCTTTTGATCTTTAGCGAAACTCACATGAATCGTGTATGAGTATATATATACACACACCACCAATATTAAGCCATTTCTTTATGAAAAAAAC